AAGCCCAAGGTATCAGATCATAGATAGCGGAGTTAGCAAAGCCACGATCGTTGTGACAAATGTGGAAGGATGCACGAGGGAACATGCAAGGCGGGGAGTTTGGGCTGCTACAAGTGCGGTCGGACTGGTTATGTGAGCCGAGATTGCACATCCACTACATCTACCACGACAACATCAAATCTAATTTGCTTTCAGTGCAATCAGAGGGGACATAAGTGGTCCCAGTGCCTGAGTTTAGTAGCAGTAGGGAAGGTGGAAACACCTTTTCCTACCACATTGAGGATTACAAATGGCCGCCAAGGCCGGGATGAGGCGCCAATGACATGGAGTAAGGCTTTTTAGCTTACTGCAGAGGAGACACGAGCAACTCCTGACGTGGTGATGGGTATGTATCTTTCTCTTATCTCTTTATTAGTATTGATTGTTACTTATGTTTATATGTTTTGTTGTAGGATTGTTCTTAGTGAACGATATATCAGCTTTGGTATTGTTTGATTCGGCTGCCACCCGATCTTTTTTGTCGCTCGCGCTCAACAAGCGATTTATAGGAGCTCCAGGGGAGCTGGATTGCCCACTGAATGCGGAGATAGCAAATGACTGGACTTTTAGAGTTACGAGGGTTCACAGAGGATGTACATTGCATTTATTCGACCAACATTTTTCAGTAGATCTGGTTCCTATTCCCCTGCATGGGAATAATGTTATAGTCGGTATGGATTGGTTTAGATCCAATGTGGCAGTGATTGACTACGAGCAGCAGCTAGTGAGGGTTCGCATTCCTAGTGGGGAAGGACTACTGATCTAGGGCGAGAGGCCACATCGCGGACCGATTTTCTATTCAGCAGCGAGGGCGATGCTCCACCTTTAGAAGGGTTGTGCAGGATACATCGCCTATGTGATGGATACCTGGGATAAGGGTAAGGAAATAGTTGATGATGTATCGGTAGTGTGAGAGTACCCGGACGTATTCCCGAAGGATTTACCTGGGATACCTTCGGAGAGACAGATTGAGTTTAGGATTGACCTAGTCCCTGGTGCGGCTTCGATAGCCAAGGCACCATATCAGTTGGTTCCTCTCAAGATGCAGGAGTTGTCTACGCAGCTGCAAGAGCTTCTAGATAAGGGTTTTATCAGGCCGAGTAGTTCGCCATGGGGAGCCCCGTTCCTGTTTGTGAAGAAGAAGGACGAGTCACATTGCATGTGTATAGACTACCGGGAGCTGAACAAGGTAATTTTGAAGAATCATTACCTACATCCGAGGATAAATGATTTATTTGACCAAATTCAGGGAGCATCTTGGTTCTCCAAGATTGATCTACGGTCAGGGTATCACCAAATGCGAGTCAGGGACGATGATGTGCAAAAGACAACTTTTAGGACCCGCTATGGTCATTATGAGTTTGTGGTGATTTCGTTTGGGCTCACCAATGCTCCAGCCGCGTTCATGGACGTCATGAACCGAGTGTGCAGATCGATGATGGATCGGTCTGTAATAGTATTTCATTGATGACATCTTGGTTTACTCCAAGACTCAGTAGCAACATGAGGAGCACCTGACGGAGGTGCTGAAGACACTAAGGAGGGAGAGACTTTTTGCGAAGTTCTCCAAGTGTGAGTTCTGGTTGCGCGAGGTACAGTTTCTTGGGCATCTTGTCAACCAGAAGGGTATTCTAGTTGATCCGGCGAAGATAGAGGCCGTGATGCAGTGGGAGATTCCGAGGTCTCCAACTGAGATTCGGAGTTCCCTGGGTCTAGCAGGATATTATTGGAGATTTATTCAGGACTTCTCCAAGATCGCAGTTCCTTTGACCCGTCTGACCAAGAAGTTGGTGGTTTTTCACTGGGGACCTGAGCAGCAGGAAGCCTTCGAGATGCTCAGGCAGCGGTCGTACGAGGCACTGATTCTCAATCTACCAGAGGGTGTAGACGACTTCGAGGCATGGGAGCATTTTAGAGCTGGGGGCATTTTTGATGCAACGGGATCTTGTGATAGCTTATGCTTCGAGTTAGCTGAAGCCTCATGAAGCTACTTATTCGACGCATGATTTAGAGCTAGGGGTGGTGGTGTTCGACCTCAAGATTTGGAAGCATTACCTCTATGGGGTTTGTTGTACCATTTACACGGACCACAAGAGTCTGAGGCACCTCATGGATCAACCGAATTTTAAGATGAGGCAGCGTCGGTGGTTAGATGTGGTGAAGGACTAAGATTGTGAGATCCTTTACCACCCAGGCAAGGCCAACATAGTGACTGATGCCGTGAGCCACAAGGCGGTAGCGTCCCCGATCCGTGATATCTGTTTGAGAATGACAGTGATTACTCCATTGATGGAGTAGATATGAGAGGCGCAGGTTGAGGGTCTGAAGAAGGAGCAACGTAAGTGCGAGCGGATCATAAGCTAAGTGACCTCCTTTGATTACGAAAGCCATGGATTGTTGACCATGCATGGGAGAGTCTAGGTACCTTATTGGGGTGGAGTACGAAAAATATTGATGGATGAGGCCCATAAGTCCATGTTTTCTATCCATACCAGGGTGACGAAGATGTATAGAGATCTTCATCCTGATTATTGGTGGCCCTGCATGAAGCGGGATGTATCCTGATATGTAGAGAGATGCTTGACCTATAGGAAGGTCAAGACAGAACACACCAGAGGCCTCATGGCAAGATGCAACTGTTAGATATCCCAGTGTGGAAGTAGGAGGACATTACTATGGATTTCATCACTAAGCTTCCCAAGACCGCACGTGGGGTTGATTAGATATGGATCATCGTGGATCGGCTGACCAAGAACACTCACTTTATCCCGATCCTGGAGAACATATCGACTGCGAATTTGATCGAGATTTATGTACGAGAGGTGGTGGCACGATATGGAGTGCCTGTCTCGGTAGTGTCAGATCGAGATGTCCGTTTTACTTCCAGATTTTGGAAGTGGTTCCACGACGAGATGGGTACTCGTCTCAACTTCAGACTCTCAAGGACATGCTTCGTGCATGTGTTTTGGATTTTGGTGGCAGTTGGGATACGTGTCTTCCGTTAGTGGAATTTTCTTATAACAACAGCTACCACGCCAGCGTAGACCGACCTCCCTTCGAGATGCTTTATGGGAGGAAGTGTAGGACCACAATTTGTTAGGGTGAGGTTGGTCAGAGGGTCATGGGGAGTACTGAAGTAGTACTCAAGACCACCAACAGGTCCAGAGTAGGCTTCAGACTGCTCATAATCGGAAAAGAGCTACACCGAGAAGCGGTGTTCGAATTTGGAGTTTTAGGAGGGGGACATGGTCCTCCTGAAGGTGTCACCCTGGAAGGATGTCATCCGGTTCCGGAAGTGGGGCCACCTCGGCCCCAGGTTTATCAGCCTTTTTAGAGTCGTAGCCCGGGTGGGCAATGTAGCGTATCAATTGGATCTTCTAGCAGAGCTCGGCCAACTCCACAACACTTTCCATCTTTCCCAGATACAGATGTGCTTAGTGGATGACACGACAGTTGTGCCCTTAGAGGACATTCAGGTTGATGACAGCCTGAATTACATTGAGAGATCGTTGGTGATTCTGGATCACAAGACGAAGGAGGTGAGGAACAAGATTGTTGAGCTACTGAAGATGTAGTGGCAACATCGTAAGGCTTCGGAGTGGACTTGGGAGCCTGAGGAGGAGATGAGGGAGCACTACCCATAGTTTTTTTTCCAGATACAGCAGACTTCGAGGACGAAGTCTAAGACAAGTGGGGGAGAATGATAATGTCTGGTTCCTGGTACGCATTTAACTCACTATTTATTTATTTTAAAAGAAGGACTCGACGAGTTGGTGGCCATAACTCATCAAGTAGAGGGTAGATTATGCGCAGGGTTTGAGGTAGCTACTCAACGAGTTGAGATTCCCACCCATTGGCCTCATTTACAGCCTCCTTGTCCCAAACCCTAATCTACGAAACCTTAGAGCTTTCCTTGAGTGCGTGAGCCATTTTGAGTGATCTTTGTGCACTTCTGAAGCTTGTGAAAGAAGAAGAAGATACAGGTCACAAGAGAGAAGGAGTAGATCCAGAAGCTACACTTATTTTTCTATATTTCTGGTAATCAAGTCTCTAACTTGATCATTCTTCTCTTAGATCTATTTACTTCCATTTTATGAGGGTTTGGTTCGAGAACTTTGGTCTTTTGGATTTGGACGCCCCAAGTGACTTATAATTCAGATATGGGATCTAGGAGAGGTTTCATGGCCTAAAGGTGTAAAATTTATGACTATGGAAGCCCCATGCAAGCTTTTAAACATTTACATGGCATTTTGAGCCCTAAAAGGCCATGCAAGGAAGAAAGCTCGAGACTTTATGTAACGCCCGTAGATGCGGTCTAGTCAATTTAGAGGCAATAGGGGTCGAAAACGAATTTTTGACAAAATATTATTAAGAATAAATAATCGCAACCAAGTTTTATTATATGTTACAAGGTTTCCGTACATATAAAGAGCGTCGAAATCCGAGTTATAACGAAGAAGTTATGGTCCGTCGAAGTTTTATGACAAAACCGACACGGCACCGGGAGATGTAAATAGTGAATTTATGATAGAGCTTCTTTTAGCCTTAGTAATCTAAATGAAAGTCGTAGAATATGTTAACCTGAGAGCGTCCATAAAAAGAACGCCCAAATCTGACTTCTTATGAGGAAGTTATGATTTTTCGATGTTTCGGCTTAGCGGTGTACAACCCGAAGTTCGAGTATTAGATCAAGCGGTTTTTAGCCGACACAACCTAAACGAGAATCGAAGATCTCGTTATTAGTAGCGTAACGATAAAAAGACAGACGAAAATGGACATCGGATAAAGAAGTTATGAGATTTTAACGGACCAATCCTGTCCCGGCCTGTTAAAAATATAACTTTAAAAATAAAGTCAAAATTAGCCGACGGAGTCTAAACGAAAGTTGTAGAGTACGTCTCCACCTACGTGTGGATATAAATAACGTCAAAAACGGAGTTCGTATGAACGAGTTACAAATTATAATAGCATATTTACGTATTAAAATAAAGTATAAATCATATATACGTACACATATATATACATATGTATATATCATTAGAAAGGTATCGACGATGCGGTCATTATAAGACTAATGTTGAGTTCTTTCGACATTAGTTTAGTGCAAATATCGTTAAATCTATTTAAAATAGTATTATAAAGGGGTGTTTAGTTGTTTATATAACTATAAGGTCATTAAGTAATTATGGAGGGTAGTTTTTGTAAATTCAATTACTATAAATAAGAGGCTTGGGCTCTCATATTTCTTGCACCATTCTCTTGATTCAAGAGTCTTTCTCTCCTTATCCCCCGAGCATTTCGGTCCCTCGTGATTCGACTTCTCTTTCTGTAGTTTTAGTATAGTAAGGTGAGCGCTGAAGCGCTGCACGAATCTTTCTTAGAAAGATTCAGCGACGAAGTTCTGCCCCTGCAGAGCCCGACTCCT